TCATAGTATTAAAAACTAAATCAGACAAACCAGGTTAGATCGAAAACCAGTCAACCCACTGATCTAGTCCTGTGACAAAAGATCAGCGGCAGGTCGACTCGGGATAACCTGGTCAACCTGACTAGTTTTAGTAGGTTAACCTGGTTGTGTGTTTTTTTTTTTAAAAAAAAGTTGTTTTAATGCTAAAAAAGTAGTTGAGTGACTAAAGGATTGTACATAGGAATATTTTAAAACCATAAATCTATTTTGATATTTTGCTAAAATGAATATTTAGTAATTTAACTAGTATAATACTATGATGTCAATTTATCAAGGGAATTGAAGGAAAAATTGGAAAGAAAATATAAGTATATGATTATTTTGTTAGAGATTCAAGGTATTAAATTAATATTTAGTCTTTGAATTGCATGATGAGAATCTAAATTAATTTTTAATTGTTTTATTTCTCACTGATTTAACCCTCGAGTTGTCTTCGATATGACTCACTGGCTCTTGATTGACTGCTTCAACCATTTCAGAGGCGGTTCTAGTTTTGAGGGAGAGTCAAATTTTGGAAGTATCTTGTTTTCATGATTTATGTGATATTCTATCAATGCTTGGGGAAAAAAAAAGAAAAATTAGGAAGAATAACCTAGAAAACACTATTTATCGAGAAGGATCTTAAAAACTACAATTATTAATAAGAATAAATTACTAAAATATAAATATAAAACTATTAAATGACCCTTAACTAGATCTCTACATTTTGCATATATTTTTTCATAATCTCCTTAATTTTTACCAAAATTCTTTTCAACTTTTTTCTCATAATTATTTGCAACAAAATTTATTGAAATAAAATCAAAATTATTTATTATTAATCCGAAATATCTTATATACCGAAATATATATTTTATGCAAATAAATCACGCAATTTAATTATCAAGCGTCCAAGCATCATACTTTAAACATCAAAAAAATATAATTTAAATACTTTAAATATCAATTTATATTTCAACTCAAAAAATCAATTTACAGTATTTTACGTTAAAATATGTTTATTTAAATTTAAATATATTTATGAAATATGTATATACACACACATAGTAAAACAATTTATAAAAAAGGTAAACAAAGAGATATTTGGAAAAAAAAAAAGGAATTTCAATTGAAATCCGAAGAAAGACAAAAATAAAAATTAACCATTGTTAGTATGGTTTATGTAGATGAATAATTTCATTTTATCATGTGTTTAGGTATAAAAAATATTTTGGATTAATAATAAATAATTTTAATTTAATTTCAATAAATTTTTGTTGTAAATAATTATGAGATAAAGATTATAGAGAATTTTATATAAGGAGTTATTAAAAAATGGGTTAATATAATCCTTGATCCCCTCAAATTTGCCTCTGTTTTGGTTTTAGTCTTTCAAGTTTCAAATCATAAATTTTAGTTTCTAAAGGGGTAAAATGGTCCATTTTTGTATTTAATTATAAAGACAAATATTTTAAATAAAAATAAACTTAAAAAACCAAAACTCATGATTTAAAATTTGTGGGATCAAAACCATAATAAGTGCAATTTTAAGAGACAAACAATTATATTAACCCTAAAAAATATATTCAATGGAGATGTAATTAGAGAAAATGTAGGAATTTAGTTAATTAAGGGTAATTTAGTAGTCTTACATTTATATTTTGTTGGAAAAAAATTTATATTTTAATGTTTGGTCTACATAAATTATTATAGTTTTTAAGATCCTTCCTAATAAATATTACTTTTTTTAATCCTTCTCCCTAATTGTCCCCAAAAAAAAGACATAAATAAACTCCTCACTTCTTCCTGAGTCCTGACATAGATGGCAAATTAATTCAAACAAAATTTTATTGACTATTTTAACCTCACTACTTTTTTGGCATGGAAGACAAATTAATTTAAAATAAAAATAAAATTTCTTAACTATTTTGCGCTCATAATAAAGTTCCCATGAAAAATAATAAAAATAAAATTCTTACTAGTTCTAGATACGGTCATACGGATGGCAAATTAACTTAAAATAAAAACAAAAATTTTTTTTTTACTATTTTACCCGCATAATTTTTGTTAATTTGATTTTTAAAATATGTTATTATATTAATTAGAAATCATAAAGATCATTATATTAATTTGTCTACATATTTTGACAAAATGTTAGGTTGAGAATGAATTTTAATAAATTACGAAATTTGACTTATTGTGTAAATTAATTTATATAACATATAAATAGAAAATATAAACTAATATATAAAGATAAAATGGTTAATCAATTATTACCATTCCTCCCCTTCCCTCCATCCATTCTCCTCGAACCAAACACATCCTCAGGCAATTTAACAACTTTTTCATTATAAATAAAAATTTTCCACGCATGCATATATAATTTGGAAAGTTAGTTGTCAATTTATTTTGGAATTACCATGCTAATTTTGCATTTTGTAAATCTTTATTATTTTTAGATTTTTTTTTCGTAAGACTCTAAAGTAATTTTCCTAGGATATTCTTTTTCAAAGAAAAAAAGCCCTCGGAAAAGTTGAAGAAATATCGAAAAATGAACAAGACATCTTATTAGAGGACATGATTTATCATTTGTCACTTAAATGAGTATAGCTTTGACGGTTTAACTTAAAGCTAAAATATATGTAAACCCTAAAATTTTAGTTAGTTGTTTATAACGTCTTTGAAATTTTAAAGTTTAAATCATTTTTATCATGTAATCATTAATTCATTGCCATTAAGCCACTGTTATCTTTTTGACAAAAATTGTCACATCAAATTAACAGCAGACATAGGATAATACATAGCATCTCATATAAGTTAATAACTTTATAAAATTTCCTAAATTTTATGAGATTAAATTTAAGTTTTGAAATGTCAAGGGATAATAAGCAATCAGTCTAAAGTTCAGGGGTTGTTGGCAAAAAATAAAAATAAAAAGCAAGTTTAAGGGGTTATTATTAACTTATATAGAATGCCATAGGATATACCTCTCAATCTCATGTTAATTTCCGTTAAAAAAAATAATAGTAATTTAATAGCAAAAAGCCCATGATAAAAATAAATAAACAAAAGATTAGGGGGTTAAATTTAAATTTTAAAATATTACAAAAGTTATGTGGAACTGACTAAAAGCTCAAGAGTTTTGTATAATTCTGCTTTAACATTTTGGCCAAAAAAAATTTAGCTCTAACATTCCACATAATATCAATTTAATTCCTTACTTTTATAATATGTCTTTGTAGTTCTCAAACCCTAGCATAATTAGTTTAAATCATGATTTTTAACCAAAAAGTATCAGATTTAATATGTCAGCTTTGGAAATAATTTTACCAGCATTTTTTGGTTATAATCATTTTATCAAGATTTAAAATTTTAATATTGGTATTTTTTTATTTAAAATTACAATATCATCATCATTTATGAACAGCATCAAGATTAACAAAGTTGAGAGAACACTTTATAAATTTAAGCAACAAAACTAGAACATAAATTAAAGGACAAATGGTTGAAGTTGAAATATATTTTTCCCAATCATTTTCGGTTAATCTTTCTAAAATGATTTTCCCTTTCAATTTTCAACCCCTGCCTCCCAAAAAAATAAAATAAAATAAATTCCTATGAACATGATTTTACATATGTTTTTTTTTTAGTATAATTCAGAACATCCTCAAGTCACTTTAAACTTGAAATTAATCTTTATTAGGCCAAGGATATAAAAGTTAAAACCCTCCTAACAATTGGGTTTTTAAAATTTGAACTTATATTCTCAACCAAACCAACAGCTTGTTAAGGATTTTACATATATTTTATCAGAATCTCTAACAACATTCGATCTCTTGTGAACCTTTAGACTTAAGTGAACCTTTAGAATTAACTGGAGGAGAAACGGAGAACTGAAAAAATGGTCATATTAGTTCTGATCATTGATATAAAAACTATTTGAAAATAAAACTTTGATTATAAATATAAAATTCTTATTTACTTTACGTTCCAAATTTATAATTCATTTACTTATTAAGAAAGCTTTCATCTTGCTATAATTTAAAAAAATTAACTCATTTATTACAAATAACCACTTTAATTTACTTTCTTAATATTATAAACAAAATATAAACTAAGAAAGACGCAGGGCTCCTGTGGGAGAAGTGATCCAAACAACTAGAGGCAAAAGATCTATATCGGCAATGCGAAAAAGGAGACAAGTCCAAACTTTACGCGTGTATTTATTCACATGAGGGGCCAAAAATAGATAAATTTTTTATAACAATACTTTTGTAAAATTGATTATCACAAGCTCCTTTAAATAGCTCATGACCAAACCAAACTTTCACATCAAGTGCTTTACAATACTCGCAACAAAAACAGAAGTCTGCCACACAATCAATTTTAGATTCAATCCAAATAAGCACTAATTACAATAATTAAAACCGATTTTTGAGAATAACCTAAACACCCCTTTATACGTCAAATTCAATTATTAACTTACAACCAAACACCCTTTCACATCCCAAAATCAATTTTGAACCCAAAATCATATTTATAACATAGCTATTATCAACTTCTTAATTTCGTTATTATGATATATAAACATATATAAACATATAGGAGTATTTGGAAACTTATAACTATAATCTTAGATTTATAATTGATTTTAACACACACCTTTGATCTTGGATTCATAATTTTGATACACATTAGCGTTAGGATATTTTTTAAGAAAACGGCTCTCAACTAATTAAATTCAGGAATCTAAACTCGTTTGACTTGAAATAAGCCAGCTCTTTCAAAGTTTTAAGGCATAACACAATGCGTTAGTCAACTCAGATGAGTTCTTCAGATAAACCGCAGCATTTCACATCGTAAAAATATCATTCCTCGAGTCAAAAGGCAAAATTTACAATTGGGAAACTCTAATTTTAATGGTATTTTTTTGGCCATTCTCAATTGCACATATAAATTTCAATAGAATCCGGCTCATACTCCACAATGAACTATGAATTACAATAATAATAAATTGCAAAGCCACAAAAGCCCCTATTAATCTGAAGAAAAATTATAGATGCGCAAGGTTATAACCATATGCAGGGCCCAGTAAAGTGTTCACTGGCAATCAAAACATTTATGCAATCAAATAAGCAGGCAGAAAAATCTTCACCAAAAACATGTGGTTAATCAATTCTAACCTGGAAAATTATCATCCCTTTCAAGTGGATACATTTCCAAACAAAAAACAAGAATTTGAGATTTGTAGCAGAATGAACCAGTAAGATACAAGAAGTCATCAAGGACCATAAGTGGTAGCATAAAATGGAGGTGTCTCCACCAAAGCATAACATTTATAAACCAAATAAGCCTTTCATTCAGAAAAAGAGAAGCTAATAAAATAAATAGTTCATTGAGGGGGGCAAAAAAGGCATGGAGAGTCATTATTGACGTCAAAAGACATGCCCCAAAAATTCAGTTGACTATGCATAATTTTAATTCCACTTAATTATTACTAGTAAACTATTTTGATGTATCAGCTACACAGATCCAAGGATTTTCATTCAGTTTTTGCTACAAAGAATCGGGAATGGCAATAAAACATCAAATTTGCACAAACACCAAGGTTCAAAGCACATACAACTTAAGCTTCTCACTTTTCTCCCTAACAGAAAGAGGCATGGAAGGGGGGCAAAACACGATTTTATTTTATAACAAAAGCAGCAATCTAATCGCCACCAATAACACCTTTAGAATATCTCAACCAAACTTCCAAATGATGGCATGAGAAGGGTATGACTACAACATTCATCTAGGTAGGGGAATTAACCGTGGTAGAAGGCTGAAACATGACACATATATCACCCAGGTAGAGTATAGATTGGGGTTGGAGGAGAAGCAGCAGTACTAAAAATAATTGGAGGAAATGCAGCGGCACTGAAACTGCTGAATACATTATTCATTTAGATACTTAGAACCAAGTCCCTGATATGAGTTGGTTAAAAATTTAATTGAAAACTTCCAAGTCCATTGATGCACTAAGACAATCAAGCTTAAAATACGCCCAGAATTAACATAACATAGAATTTCATTTAATCCCCTCAGAGAAGAGGGCTAAGAGGAGAAAACGGATACCAAATATCCATTGCAAAATCACTTAAAGAATCTAAGATTTCCAAATTAAAGGCAGGGATCAATAGTCTGATCCTTTCTATGATTTCGATTACTACAGCTAACAGCAATACCTCAGCAGGGAACCAACCCTTCAAGTCACCATGTGACTTCAATAACCTGCTGACACTAATTAAAAACTATCATAAACAATATACAGCTAAACATAAAACTAATAATAGGAAACAGAATCCTACAAAGGATGTCATCATCTTTAACATAGGCTTGCCAAGCAAACTCATAGAACGATCATGATTCACACAACTCCACTGTGATTCTAACTAGAAGATCATATCTAGAAATATGACAATCTAACTTGCAACAATCTCATTATCAAAGGGAAAAAAACAGATATGCCTAACTAGAAACACAGCTGATTGCAGACGTGGAGCTCTAGACTGATGAGATTCTACCTTCCGCTGTCTACGCAATACTGTAATAAAGACTTGCTAACGGTTCATCTGACTTCTAGATAGTGGTCACCTGCATTAAGTGCCCTTTGCCTATGAAATGTGATGCTTAGACCTGCACGGATCTTCTATAGCAAAGCTTAGGCATAAATCTATCTTGCATAAGGGTGGTAACGACTACTGCCTCCATAAGCTCCTCTACTACCATATAGTGCCCCCGGCCCACCATAGCCAGCACCAGGGCCAGAGTCATAACCCCCACCAGAACCAGGTCCACCATAGCTTGCAAAGCCCCCAGCGCCTCGCCCATATGCACCTAGCCCACTTCCACCATATCCACCACCAAGGCTCCCCATATAGGAACCATAGCGGCTAGAATAGCCAAATGATGAATCACCTCGGTAGCCAGCAAAACCACCACCACCACCACCATAGCCTCCAAAACTACTACCAAATTCATCACCACCGTACCCACTGTAATCACCAAGCCTGCTGCCAAAACCTCCAAGTGACCTATAAGAAGCAGGACCAAAACTGCCACTGCCAAAACTGCTATAGGATTCGCCAAATCCACCATAACCATCACTGTATGGGCGTGCCCTATCACTACCAAATGGAGGAAAAGATGTTGGGTTTGAGGCTTTCTTGGGTTCAGCCTTCTTGATCTCAACCTACAACAAAGAAGTAAGTCAACCTAGATTCTTCCATAAGCAGAATATCTTAGCCTGGCTTGAGAATTAACCTGTAGTAAGCCCACTTATACCAAGATTCAAACAGCATAGCTCCAACAAGATAATATAGTTTGGCATTATATTGGACAAGAATAGAAAGTAAAAGCAAAATAACTTCTCCAATAAAATGTCCTTCAGAATTGAAAGAAGTTGTTGCTTCATTATACAAGAGATCATGGGTTTGGTTCACATGAAATATCCTGAAGAACCAAACAGAACTCACCTGAGTACCAGCCATATCAATCATGTTTCCATTTGACAGCAAATTATCAACAACTTTTTCACTGTCAAACACTACAAATCCAAATCCTCGAGAGCGTTTAGTAGTGTGATCACGAATGATCTCATGCTCCACAACCTTCCCATACTTTGAAAAGAAGTTCTTCAATTCATCTGACAATCACAAGGCAAATGGAGAATATTAATTTCATTAGCTAATGACTATAGTAACAAGCTCATTAAAGAAATCCAGAATCCAAACCTTCGCTTACTGAGGTTGGAATACCACCAACAAATATCTTCTTAGTTTTAAAATCATTAGCCTGAGATGAGCCCTTTGGAATCGTCCTTTTGATCTCCACCTGACATAAATTTATCACGGAAGCTAAAGCTTTAAGCCTCAAAATTATAAAAAGATAACTTCCTTGAAATTATTCCAACTCCATTGGTCGTTAAATTTCGATAAGCTAGTCATGCTTTGATAGGTTGCGGGCCGGAAGATAAGTATATGCTCGGTTGCAAAAGCTTATCTGTACTACAATAACGCCATTCATAATGTTAACCATAAAAAAAAAAAAAGGTTGGTACCGAAGCAACCACGGAGAATCCTATGCTTCAAGCTGAAAATTTCGTATGTGCAAGAGAAAAGGACAACTTGAAGCCAAAGGATTAATAATTCAACAAGTACAATGAAGTTTACAGAGCATCAAGTGAAATAAATCGAAGGTCAATACACAAAAGTAAACATACAAAACCGATAGGTAAAAAGAACTAGACTGCAGCAAGAAATTAAATTGGATTTATTAACTTCGCTTAAAAAAGGGACTTATTAACCTGTGAAGGGCATATGACTAGAATAAAAACCATAATTCAATTTCGGCTTATGTTTTCCCCTCATGGAAAGAAGGCAAGATTAAATTCCTGGAGTCTACCTGCTTCCCATTGATCACATGGTTCTCCTGAATAACGTGGTCAACGACAGAAGGATCTGCGTAAGTAATGAAACCGAAACCCCTGGGTCGACCCGTATGCCGATCTTTCATTATCACCGAGTCTGTTATCTCCCCATACTTCTCAAAATACTTGACGAATTGTTCTGAATGAACAAACCGAACAAAAGGTCCCATCATTGAAATCAAATGATTCAGTACAAAGAAATAGACTCAACAAAAAGAAAAAAGGTAAACTCTTTCTCACCAAGTGTTGTATCTCTAGCTAGCCCTCCAATGAAGATTTTGCTGCGCGCACACAAAAAAAAAATGATTTTAATCAAACGGTGATGAAGAAGATGATAAGAAACAGCGGGAGAAGAAACAAACCCAGGACTGGCACCATCGCCGGAGTGAGGATTGTCACCCTTCCTGGAGCCCATGGTGTAATAGGAATCCGAGATGAGCAGATCGGAGCTCGAGATCTTGGTCGCAAAAGCTATCACTACCAGGGATTGCGATGGAGATAAAGCGAGCAAAAGAAGAAGATACCTAGGGTTAGGACGGGCTGGCACCCCCTCTTCTTTAAAACCAGCTGGACGCTCTTCGATGGTTAGGGACGCCGCTAGGAAAAGCTAGTACAGCACCGTGCGGGTGAAAGATTTTCTAGAAAATATATTATAAATAAGAATTACTGATAAATTAAAAAAATAAAAATAAAAAATTAATTATTGAAATTCAAAATTCCAAACCAGAAGTTATTATAAAAATATGTTGTTATTTACTTTTTGGATGTTGTTATTTTCTTTTCGAATGTAGTAACCAATATTGATTTGAAATTTTAAAATTCAACAATCACTTTTTTGAGATTTTTCTTTTAAAAAAATAGTGAAATTAGTTACTTATAATAGATATTAATTGATTTTCTTAAAGTATCCCTTTCAATTATTATTACTCTTTTATATGAAAATCCCTTGACATATATAATTAATAAAGGTATTTTAGATAATGAATTACAAATTTAAAAAGAAAGTAAATTGAGGTTTTATATTTAGAACCAAATTTAATTCCTAACTAGCTATTATATTAAGTGAGCTATATATAAGTTTAATAAATGTTTTATAAATCATAAAAGTGAGTAAATAGTAAACCTCATGCTAAAGATCTAAAGATCTAGAAGATATAATTGATTTAAGGGAAAATGACAAAAATATTCATAAATTTGAAAATCCTCAAATGCACATTTGAATAATGAAAATCTCTTTTTAATCATGCATGACTAAATTGGGATTTTCAAATAAAATGAAATGATGAAATTGCCCTTATCAATAACAAAACATGGGTATCACATCCATTAGCATCAGAAGAAATTTGGTGAAAAGAAAAGCACACCAAGGTGTTGTTCGAAGGTGAGAAGAAGGTGGGAAACATAAGTGTAAGTATTTTTGTTTGAAATCATATGACTCTTCTAATCCTTCTAACATCACTGAGGTGTTGTTATTTTTTCATTTTGATGGTTTTGGATTATGGGTAAGTTGAAAGCTTAGAGGAGGTAAGGTGCGGCATTATGTAAATCAAACGGGGTGTTGGTTCTTCTTGTTTTAGATGTGAAAATGATTAGAAATTTGAATATATGGCTTAGTTGGTGTGGGATCGGGTTTACAATGATATGTTTATTGGGATAGCATATTGTAGTTCAAGCAAAGTCGAAGAAAGCTCTGCAATGACTACGTAGATGGAAATATTAAATTTCAATAATAATGATATTATAAAGTGTGTTAATAATTGCAAAAGTAGAGTTGTGACATATTATATTGAAGTTATTAATACAGGAAATAACCGTGTTGGGTTGATTTTCAAAATTGATGAAATATCTTTATTAGAGAACTGATATTGTGATGATTTTTTTCTTTTTGTTGCAGGGTAGAATGCAAAATGACATACAATATTGGGTCAACATCTTCAAAGACACTTACTTTATTTTTTCATATTAGTGGAAACCTTTTTAAGAATATTGAAGGTGAAGTAAAATACAATAGTGAGAATGTGAGAGTTAAAACAATGAAAAAAAGGATAAGAGTTGAAGATATGCTTGAAAATATAATAGGTCAAATGTTTCTACATCTACCTAAAGCTAGCAAACTTTCTGGAAGGCCTAGAACTAGCAAGCAAAAATCCCAATTCCAAAACAAGAAGATTTATTTTTTGAAGATCATTTTTTATTTTACTTGTAAATACTTAGCAACCTTTCCTATTGTTTTAGATAAAGGGTTGTGGCATATGCTTTATCCATATTCTAGGTAATGCGTATATCGATGTCAATGATAAGAAAACATTAAGTGGAGTTGTAATGTTAATGTTAACTTATTACTGATTATATACAGAGTTAATACTATCATAGAGGGTCTAATTCTTGGGAAATGTCATAACTAAAGTTGTTATTTGCTTTAACAGTATTGTTAACTATTGTAGAACTTGTAAGGCAAGAGCGCACTTAATGTTCATGTTTCATGTTCATGTCTTAGTTTATAGGACCGTCTTCTTATGAAATGAGTTGAAAAAATAGCCAGTAATGATTATTTGCCTTTATGCTAGCTGTTAATAGTTATACTAAAATTGTTAATAATATTATTGAGGTTGTGAAAATGGTCATTTTTGTATTTCCTCGAATTCCTGCTGTTAAAGACGATACTGAAGTTGTTAACATAGACAATAAACTTATTAACCGCTATACGAGAATTGTAAAATTTTCCATTCTAATTATATAACTTATCTCTCCAAGTTCTAATAAACTTTGATATGAAGTGGTTAATGGCTATACGAGTGTTGTTAATAGTTATAGTAAAGTTGTTAAAAGCATCACTGAAGTTGTAAAAATACTTATTTTTGTATTTCCTTGAAATTCTGTTGTTAAAAGCAATAGTAAAGTTATTAACAGAGATAAAAAAAACTTGCTAATCTCGATATTAGAGTCATAAAATTTCCCATTCAAGATTATATAACATATCTCTTCAAGTTCTAATAAGCTCTAATATAAGGTGGTTAACAACTATACAAGTGTTTTTAATATTTATATTAAAGTTGCTAATAGCGTCACCAAAGTTATAAAAATAGCTATTTTTGTATTTCCTTGAATTCCTATTGTTAAAAGTGATATTAAGTTGTTAACAGAGATAATGAACTTGCTAACCGCTGTGCGAGAGTTGTAAAATTCCCCATTCATAATTATACAACTAATCTCTCCAAGTTCTAACAAGCTCTGATATGAAGTGGTTAATAACTATACAAGTGTTGTTAATATTTATGCTGAAATTATTAACAGCATTATTAAAGTTATAAAAATGGCCATTTTTGCATTTCCTTGGATTCCTATCGTCAAAAATGATACTGAAGTTGTTAACAAAGATAATAAACTTGTTAGCAGCTAAACGAGAGTCGTAAAATTTCCCATTCATGAATATACAACATATCTCTAAAAGTTCTAACAAGCTCTAATATGAGGTGGTTAATGGCTATACAAGTGTTATTAATAGTCATACTGAAATTGTTAACAGCATCATTAAAGTTATAAAACTGACAATTTTTACATTTCCTCGAATTCTTATTGTTGAAGATGATACTGAAATTGTTAACAAGATAACAAACTTATTAATTGCTATACGAGAGTTGTAAGATTTTTTTTATATACAAATGAGAGTTGTAAGATTTTTGGTTTATGATTATACAACTTATCTCTCCAGGTTCTAATAAACTTTGAGATGAGGTGGTTAATATGTAACAGTTTATTTATTTTGGGATTTTGTGTTAATTATGGTTTAGGATTTATAATTAAAGAGTAAAATGATTTAAGAAGGGTGTTAAAAAAATATACAATAAATTATCATTCTATAAAAGGAAATTTATAAATAATGAAATTTAAGTAAAGAAATAATTATATGTATACAAAAAAAATACTATTGCTATTACTATTTTTATTAGCAAATAAAAGTCATCATATTGTTTTTATAATAATAATATAAGTAAAAAAAAGAACAAACCCTAAACACGCTCTGCTGTGAAACCCTCTTTTTCCTCTTCACTTTGTCCTGCCTCTGCCTCCATATTGATCAGGTACTCTTCTTCTCCCATTTCTTTCTCAAGTCAATCACCTTTTGCCTTCAGCTTGTTATCTTATTTGTCTCTTTGATTTTCTTATCTACACTGTTCTTTTCGAACTCTTCCTTCCTGACAGTTAAATCTCCATATTTTATTTCCTTCCTTCTCTTTCAACTTACTTCAGCGTATATGCTGGGATTTCAACAGAGATATATATATGTTCAATCATTTCCAGCTTTTTCCCTCTCCTTCTTGGTGATTTGAATTTTGAAATGTGTCCTTTCCAACCTTCTAACAAATGTATATCATGAGGTCTCTTTACTTATGTGTTATTATTATTGTTATTTTTTTCCTACCCCACCTGGTACCCGTAGAGTGAGGCAACTATTCAAACTTGTTAACCCATTTGGCATTCATTTCCTTCTTTTGCTATTGTTGGTGGGTGTGTGCTTATTTATTTATTTTTATTCTCAGCCCACACACTTTTCTATATGTATAGTGTGTGCCTCCAATAAACTCACATCAGATTGCCTTACTTGAATACTAATATATACATTTATTATTGCTTTTTTTGAATTCCTTGAAACCCCTTTTTTACTTTTTGTATGTATATTTATTCATTTCTCAAACTAGACTTCCTAAATCATTTTTCTCATCAATATGTGTGTGATTGTGTATATTATATGTTTCATTATTAACCCCACGTGTCCCATCTTCCCCTACGTCAATTTCGTGTTTCAATTGTGTGTGTATATTGAGCCACTGTTATAAACAAAATATTAATATTAATATGCAAGCTAACTTTCTAATTTGAATTTTATACTATAAAAGAATATAAATTTTTTTTTTTACTAAACCAGCATTTAATTAAAAGTATTTATGCATATATAAATATAATAGGTGTATTTTAAGAGGGTAGTTTGAGCTCTTAAGTAACTTTAGGATAGTTTAGAGTAACTTTAGAGTAGTTTTAAGTTATATATAGTGATAGATACTTTGTGTGTGATTTTGTAGATTCTCTTTAAGAGCTTTGGAGTAACTTTATGTGATTATCTGTTAAGCTAAAAAGTAGCAAATAACTCTAAAATTTCTTCCAAATATACATATATATTAATTGTTTGTGGATTGTTATTGTTATTAAATATCTTGCAAATTAATTATGTTAGTATTAAATGCATATACATATATATATGTTTACAATATTGAGTTTCCAAATAAATAGAGTTTTACTATTTATATACATTTCTATTTCTTATGCTATTAGATAGTATTAGTAATAAATAAATATCTTGATAATTATGGTGTTTGAAGTACAAAGAAATTGTAGGGTTAATTATTTGTATTGGATTTTTTATTCTTTTCTGTTGTGGAATAATAGTATATTGGTTGAAATATTATGTTATACCATTACTTGTCATGGCATATGCATTATGTGATGGGTTGAGGTTAGATGAAGATTGATATGTTATTTAATCACCACATGGTATGCTATTATTT